CATCCAGCCCCTACTCCAAGTCTTCTATACTGTTGCGAGTGGGTACTCACTGCCAATGGCCAGGACTTCCGCTAACATCCTGCAGCCCCGGAAAATGAAGACATTCTGTTCAAGGACTCGGTGTACACTGCTATCGGTCTGGCAGCCAACGTTCTCTACGATCACCTCGACTTCGACTCGTTCCTTGAGAACACTCTGGTCGCCGAGGCAGGAAAGCAGAAACCGGGCTTCAACCTCATTCGCCGCCGTATTGCCATCATCATTGCACAATGGATCACTATCAAGATGGCAAAGGAGAAGAAGCCCATAGTCTATCAGATCTTCCAGCATCTCCTTGACAAGTCCGATCCGATGAACGATCAGGTCGTTCGCATCACTGCAGGAAGGAAGTTGCACGCCGTTGCGGATGAGTGGGAGTTTCAGGCGGACAACTTCTTACCGTACGCCCCTGTCACGCTCGATAGGCTGATGGCGTTGGTGCAAGAAGTCGAGCTGCCAGAGACGAAGATGGCGCTACTCAACACCATTAGTCTCATTGTATATAGACTAGAGCATCATGTAAGTCCTAGGAGTGTGCGGTCAAGATACGGACTAACCGACCTTAGATCACACCATATGCCAACAGCATCATCTCACTCCTACCGCCTCTATGGGAGCAGTCCGGTGAAGAGCACCTGATGAAGCAAGCCATCCTCACGGTTCTGTCTCGCCTCACCAACGCCATGAAAGCCGACTCGCGCTCGTTCCATATATCTTTCCTGCCCATCATCCAGAGCGCCATCGAACCAGGCTCAGAGACGCAGGTTTACCTTCTAGAAGATGCATTGGACCTATGGGCTTCCATTATAGCGCAGACCCCATCAGCTCCAGAGCCCACCCCACCCGAACTCCTCACTTTACTCCCATACCTCCTCCCACTCTTCTCCATGGACAACGAAACACTGCGTAAAGCCATCGAAATCACCGAAGCCTACCTCCTCCTTGCACCCTCCGCCGTCCTCGCCGACTCTTTCCGTCCCACAATCCTACAAGCACTCACGGGCCTACTTGGCAATCTCAAACCCGAAGCAAACGGCATCATGACCCATCTCGTAACGTGCATCATCCGCGGCGCACAGGGCGTAGGCGGCGAGCAAGCCATCAAAGTCTTGACAGCCGACCTGATATCCACGGGCTTCCTCGCCAAAGTACTAGAAGGTCTCCATGGCGCATGGTCGCACCACCAATCCCACGGACCCTATCGAGAACTCCCGTCTCGCGCCGTCGACGGCGTTGTAGAAACCGACTATTTCACGGTGCTGGCCCGTATCGGCGTGGCTTCTCCTGCCGTGCTGTTGGAAGCGCTGTCGTCGGTCGGTAATGCCGAGCTGGAGAAGACGTTGGACTGGCTGCTGGAAGAGTGGTTCAGCCACATTGAGAACATTGGAGATGCACCGAATAAGAAACTCATGTGTCTTGTTCTCACTCGTTTCCTCGAAGGTGCGCAGCCGTGGATGCTGGGCCGGTTGCAGATGTTGATTGCGGTCTGGACCGATGTTTTGGGGGAGCTGTTGGATGGCATGGATGATCAGAGTCAGGAGTATGTTTGTTTTCGACCCCTGCATGTTTTTCTCTTTCTTTTGTCTTCCGTCTCCCTGCTTCACCACTCCTTCGAAAGTTTTCTTATATATATTAATCTTGCCTCTCGGATGCTAACGTCTACAGTTGTTTATACTGGCCCCCAGAGCCCTACCACCCCTCCGAACCTGAAGCTCCCGAAGACATCCGTAAGCGCGAACTCATCTACTCGGATCCGGTCCACCAGATCAACCTCGTTGCTTTTATACGGGACCACTTGCAGCAGGCTATCCAGCAGGTGGGTGGCGAGCAAAGGTTCCAGGACGAATGGTTGAGTCGCGTGGATAAGGAGGTGCTCAAGGGGTTTGGCGAGTTGGGCATCATGTAGGTTAGTCTGGACACGTTATGGTATGGACCGTGTGATGGCTTGCATGTGAGGACGGGATTTGTCTCTGTCCGAGTGTAACGTGGTGGGGATACATGAGCGTTTGAGCAGTGTATATAGCTACGCGCTTACTCTACCCATAACCAAATGATCCACGGCAAACACACACACACACTCGCACATATATGATCGAGCGTATGCGTTTCCATTCCCCCTTTCAAAATCCCATCAAGTCCACCTACACATACCTAAGGGAAATTTAACAACACATCTACACCACAAACTCCCATTCCATCCCTCTTTTTGTTTTGTCCACATTTTCCCCCATTTCTGCGTACTCCAACGCTACAGCTACAGTACCAGTCATCCCACAACAGCAAACCCGACACCGACACACCACGCCTCCGAACTGCACAAACCCACTTGCACATGTATATAGTACGCGGCGTAAGCGTGACAGCGGGGGAGATACTGCGGTGTAGTTGCTGTGGCATTAGTTTGGTCGTGGGCGTGACCGTGGGCGCAGTGGCGAAGAAGAAGAAGAAAAAGTGTATATAAATATGTAACGTTATACATTCGCGTATAGATATACTTTCAACATCCCCCTCTCTTCTCTTTTCTCTCTCTCCATCAACCACGAACTAAAACACATAAAACAATTCCCCACCCTACAAGACCTCCCCATCCCGCCTCAAAAACTCCCACATGGCGCGTACAACCGCCAAACCACTTCCTTGCGTTTCGACCGTTCGGCCGCGACCACGGTTATTGACGTCGTCGTCTTCGCCAGGACGACGTGAAGAAGATAGATCAGGCGCGGTGGCGCCCCACCAGGCCCCGAACCTGCCGTCCTTATCCCTCGTGCGCAGCGCGGCTTGCGCGTTATGTACAACCCAGGGCGTGTACTCTGTGCAACTACGCTTGTGCAGCATGGCGATTGCGCGGGTGGCTGCATGGGTTTTGCCGGGTTGGGTGGGGTGAGTGGGTAAAGGGTGGCAGAAGGAGGTTAGGTGGTGGAAGAAGATGCCTTTGAATGTTTGGCCGTTTTGGGTGCATTGGCCCGAGGGGTCGCAGCGCTCGGTTAGGATGCCGTTGGAACCTAGACCGGACCAGGAGGGGGGCTGAGAGACTTTCTCTTCGGTGGCTCGTTTCTGTTGTTGTTGTTGGGACAAGGGCGGGGTGGAGGAGAGATTTGGGTTGTGCCAGCCGGTTGCGCGGATCACGTTTCTGACTAGCTCGTGGCCGTCTTCCAGGAAGTGTGTTTGGCCCGTGGCTTCCCAGAGGCCCCTCAGTCCGGATAGGAGCACGCCTTGGTTGTAGGTGTATACCATTTCGTTGCGCTCATCGCAAGTCGTCTTACTATGATTTGTACGATAGCCTCCAATGTGGAACCCATCGACGTACAGTCCCTGCTCGTTCGTCATCCCGCTATTCTTAAGCCACTTGTAGGCATTCAACGCATTCGCGAGATACACAGCATCGTAGCGGCCCCGCATATCCTCATCGCACTCATCGAACAGTTGGTTCCTACGCGGGTGCGACCGGTCGTACGGGCCGAGAAACGGCGAACAATTGTCGTCGCCCGGGAAGTGCAAGTACATGCTGATACTCGCCGAAATGAAGAGCTGATTCGTAATAGCGTTCTTGTACGGTAGTAGACGTGGGTTCCATGTCATTCCTCCGCCGCAGAGACGCCAGTCCCAGCCCTGTTCTGCGAGTTCGTAGAAGACGCGCGCGCGGTGCGAGAAGGCGGGTAGGAATTGGCGAGCGTGCCAGGCTTGACCTCCGACTTGGTCGTCAGATGTGTAATGTTGGAGAGAGTGCGATTCGATGAAGCGTGTAGCTTCCAGCCAGCCCAACACCACCCACAAAATGTCGTCAAACGCTTGCATTCTTATCGCAAAATGGTCTTCGCCAAAATAGTACGTCGTACTCTGTGCAAAGTACTTGTTAATCTCGTTCTCCACCATCTGAGCCTCGACGTCTAGCTTCCGGTCCTTGTCGAAGGTGCCCGGCATTTTGTAGGCGAGCGACTGCGATAACGAGGAGAGTGTCGCAGAGACATACGTGGACATTACAGCCGCTGTCCAGTCTATCGCCGTTGTGTACTTCCCAAGCCAGACAGCAAAGTACTGTTCCTGCATTGTGGAGAGGGCGGAGTGAAGGTCATGGAGGATGTTGGCTTCGGCAAGGGAGTATTGGGGTGTGCTGGTAGGCGCATCGTTCCACGCCGTCTGGGATGATCCGCGAGAAGGTTGGGAAAGGATTGGCGTCGTTGGAATCATGTAGACGACATTCTCATTCTCGGGCTGATAGACCGGTTGGTCTGTTTTTAGTGGGAATCAGTGGGAGCGTTCTACGAGTATGGATTGGAAGTCTTACGCTCTGAAGCTGGCTGCCTTTCTGCGCTACCAGCGATCAAAGTGATCGCACATGCAATGAGGAGCAGAGACAATATGAGACGGTACCGCCAAAGCGATGCGACGCGAAGAAAAGATGCCATGTTCAGGGCCAGCAGACGCAGTACATAACCAATTGAATGATAGATAGTACTGCTTGAACCCGCCACTAAGAAAAGCGGCAGGTAACGATGTTACATTACGGACATAGGACAGGAGAGGAGAAAGATTCTTAGGTATGGGAAACAGAGGAGTTCATAGCAAAGAGGAGGTTCCGCATGAGGCGTCTTCGATCCCGGTCGAGTCCAGAGTCCACCTTCCCGCGCGTGCAGGATCCGGTGGCTTGCTCTTCCCCTAAGACGACATATTAGGTGGGGCTATCGCAAGAAACGCGTGGAAGTCACAGATGCGCAGTCTGTGGACGCATAGCGGAGAAGAGCACAAAAAGGAAGAAGCTGTCTCTGCACAGCTGTTGTGATTGCTCAACGGTGGTACGCATGAAGAGTCTGGACATCGCCAAGACTCGGTAAACCTCAAGGATGTTGTGCCGCTTACCTACCCCGCTATCGCATCGTTCGCCCGATGCATCCATCAGGAAGCACAACCTCACTGCCTATGATTACTACAAGAGGCAAAAAGAATGCCAAAAAGAAAGATGATGATGAGAGTGGGATTCGAACCCACGCAGATTTCTCTACTAGCACCTGAAGCTAGCGCCTTAGACCGCTCGGCCATCTCACCGGGAGTTGTTATGGAAAATGTTTGATTACTATGGTATGTATTCTAAAGACACAATTTGACGTCAAACCGGCGCGGCTACAGGGAGATAACATGCCGCTCGGGTAGCGGTTGTAAAATTGAGTTGACTGATTGGATCACATCAAGTGGGGTACTCGCGTGTAAGAGATTTTTGCATCTCCACACTTCCAATCTATCGTAATCCACTCACACACTACACCTCACTAGGACTGCAACCCGCGAATCACTCTGTTATATACTGGTCCTTTCGTTACCTAAAAAACAACATGCTAATAGCTTGTTCTTTACCCTTGGACTATGATGAACGTTTAAGTCCTATAACGAGGTTCGTTATACCTGAGCTTCACGTCATCATACGTTCGACACACACATTATATCCACAACCTTCGTCTATGCCGGCCCTGCTCCTGGCGCAGTCTTGTTCAGATCAAATCTCACCTGGTGCCCATTATTCTATAGCCGAAGATCGACACTGGTCAATATCTTCATCCCCGTTTCAGCCAAAGAACTCAACTTACCGACTCCATCCACTGCGTACAATAACGCGGTCGGGCTAGCTTGGATGCTACCAGTCGAGTGCGCTAATGCGTCCATGCATGATGATTCGTACTTCGCGCGCCATTATTGGAGGTAAAAAGGAACTACACAGTACAGCATCCGCGAAGAGCAGTCGCAAAGAGGATACCGCCAGCATGGACTCACAACCGCTTTCTCGTGGTTTGTATATCCACCGTGTCTACCGTCTTATCGCGGTATCAGGACTACCCGTACACAACGCGGTTAACAACAGAAAGAGAAAGATGCAGCGCACCTAAGCCACGAACGCAAGTAAAACGAGTAGTTCCTGCCTTTCGAGAACAGTAGCACGCCAGGAGAGCTATGTAATCTCTTAGTTAAGGTGCGGAGAAAGTGCAATGTACGTAGGTAAGCTTAGATACGGTATCTGGACAACTACATTAGAGTAACGTAAGTTGTATCGAGCTTCTTGGCTAGCCCGTCCAGCTTCACGCGTTCATCTCCCAGCAGTTCCTCGACTCGTTTTTGGGAGCGAATAATGGTCTTGTTTGTCTCTCGGAATGCGTTCTTACTAAGGGCCTGTTCGGTTTCCAGTAGAAAGATGGCCGATTATCAGCGTGGTGGCTTGCAGGGGGCGGCTGGTAGGCTACCTTTTTAGGTAACTGTAGTGTTGCTGAAATGAAGGGGGCTGTTCGGTAGCTATTGACCAGCAGACTGTATCACGTGACTAGAGTAGATTGCAACACTATCGACAGCGCCGTGATAACGCTCTACCTGATAAAAATATTCTGCAACAGCGACAATTGCCGTGATCACGTGCCTGGATCGAGAGGTCTAGCAAAGAAAAACATCTCATGAGCAACTTTTGCTTGCTGGACGCCACGATAGCTACAATAGGGAGGTGGCAGGGGGGTGGCAGGGTGCTATAAGCACTAGCAGGGTATGGACATGATGGATGGCGTTTTGTTAGCGAATCGCTGCCTCCAGCACATCCAAAAACATCCCATTAGAACCGAACACAGAGTCACAGACCCGATACCAGCTCCAACGGCCGATTAAAGTGAGCTGCTGAAATCGGGGTTTCTGCTGGAAACCGAACAGGGCCTTATTTACTAGATCGACCCGATCCATAAGAGAACGCCCTGCAGCACGATAGCGCTGCCCGCTTAAAGCTGTGTCATGCATCCTATAAAGAGCGTGGCCCATCGAGACTAATGCTTATGGTTTGAATTCTCAGTTATCATCCGGGTGGAATGTCTCGATCTGGGCTAGACAGTGTGGGTTTCTTAGGTTTTGTGCCATTGTTCGGGCACATAGGTAGGTCTCTGCGGATTTTGCGATGCTGTGAATTCAAAATTGTAAGATTAACACTAGATCAGTTCTCGCAGCTATCATACGATTCTTTACCTTCCCCTTCCGCACCGTTCGGTCGACAACGCTCTCCAATGACGTATACAATGCCGCCATCCGCTGCGCAATCCATCGCATCACTATTGCGCAGTCACGATACCTGTACAGTGGCGCCAGCGAGAGCTACCTTGCACACTGCAAGAAAGCGAATATCGCACCGCAGACCGTTGAAGTAGAAGGAGAGTGCGGAAAGATTGATGCATATTGGATAGGCAACCCGGATGCGGAAACCGTGATACTCTACCTCCATGGCGGAGGATACACGATTGGACCGAGTACAGTCTACTTCGACTACATGAGCAGACTTCTCGCGGACCTCAATGATCGAAAGAGTAGGCGCTCAGTTGGCGTGCTCTTCGTCGCCTACACGCTCGCACCCGAAGGCACGCACCCAACGCAATTGAGGGAAGCCGTGATCGTCTTGTCCTACCTCGTCACTAAAACCGGGCGTTCTCCATCCGAAATTCTCATTTCTGGCGACTCGGCGGGTGGTAATCTGGCCATAGCACTGCTCTCGCACATTCTACATCCGCATCCAGGCGTTGTAGCACTTAAGCTTCAACGAGCGCTTGCTGTAGCGCTGTTGTAGAGTCCTTGGGTCAGCTTCAGTACTGACTACGCCAGCTACGGCAACGCAACACTCGACATGCTTGATGCGCTAGCACTCCGCAAGTGGTCCGCTACGTTGCTCAACAAGACCAATCCCGTTGATCCAGAGGAGGATCCTGGCCCGGTTTCTGGAGATTCTTGAACTGAAGCTTGCATGAACGACTCTTCTTGGTGAAATTCGATGCATACCGTCGTCAGTGACATCTTTGTCTCATACGGAAGTTATGAGGTATTTGCAGACCCTATACTCATCTGGAAGAAACAGTTGATGACGGGCTGGGCTGAGGGTGGCGGTGATGCGAGCCGCGGGACCTTTTTCGAGGCGCTGAAGGAGGCGCACGTCGCTCCCATCTTGGGGTTCATGGCCATTACGGAAAAGAGTGATACCCAGATTGCAATCGAAGAGTGGTACAAACTTCGCTTATCGTAAAGAAATAGGCCCATTATGAAAATAACGTCATTATTGAAGATCTTGACTCTTTAAAGTGTATCCCAAAGTTTATTGATACGTCTCCAGCTCAGCCTGTGAAAAAGACAGAAGAGCAAATCACGATTGCCAAGCTTAGTTTCGTCCCACAACTTACAAGCTTCTTCAAGCACTTATTTGTGGAGCCGTGGTGGGCCATGGCAGTTGTACCAAATGCTGTCAAGCGGTATGGAATATGAGTATCATGTGTAGTATTAGAGCTATGGAAGGTGAGCTCTATATACGGAAGAGAGAAATGGGAAATGGAGCTATCCTATATAAGGACTAGTGTAGTGCAACATCCGGTATGGAGGCTGGATCAACAATCACTCAGGTGAGCCCTGGCGGCCGACAAATGCGAATATCACATTGATATCGAAATAATGCTTCCCACTTCCTTCATTACTTTTTGTCCTCTTCTCTTGCTTCGTCTCGTGCTTCTGCCGTCGTGGCTCTCGCTTCACAACGCCAAAAGCGCCTCGTGGGCCAACAACCGGATATAAATCCTCCAAGGGCTATACCGTATTGAGCAAGAACACCGCAATGTGACGGACAGTCGCTTCCTGAATCCTTCGTTTTCGTCGCCAGCGCCAGGTTTTAGGTAGGTGGTATGCTCAGATCCATGCTGAAGTGCCTGAGCCATGACGTGTCGAGGTATTCATAGTTCCAGAGACATCCCCCATCTCATCTCCGGAGAAACAGATAAGGCATTCTCCCACCTTATCTCTACTCAATCGCCTACACTCACACTCCTCAAAATGCGCTTCAAATCCACCGCCCAAGACAACCCCTGGCTAACCTCGCCTTCTTACTCCTCCCTCGTTCCGATAGGCACGCACTCCCTCTGGGCCAGCATCACCGGGCCTCCCCGCCCACCCACGGCACCCCTTCTCATCTTCATAACAGGCGCAGGCGGCGCCTCAGCCCTGCACATAAAACTGCAACAGCAACTCACGCCCTACATCCGGTGTCTCTTCTACGACCGCGCGGGCTACAACCTCAGCACGCTACCGCCCTTAAAGCCATCCTTGGGAAAGATCGTCGCCGACGACACAGCCCGCGATCTAACCAAACTGCTAGCAGCAACAGGCCTAGAGCCACCCTACCTCCTCATCGCCCATTCCTTTGGCGGAATCATCGCACGCACCTTTCTCCAGCACCACAGTTCCAATCCAGCGACAATCACCGGTATGCTTCTCTTTGACACCGCCACAGAACTCATGCTCTCGCCCCTCTTCCCGCGCTTCCCCCCTCCCGAAATCATGGCCGTGGCCCAAGACGTCGATTACGAAGCCCTCACGCACCTGCAGCGCGACTCTGGGTTATCGGATGCAGAATGGGATTACGCACTCTTGGCCTGTGCCCGCTGTCGGCAGGCGCAAGAGTACGAAGACACACATGCTTCTGCGCACAACCTGTCGCTCCACCGCCAGCTCGACTTCAAGACCTTGGGATCACGGCCGTTGACGGTCGTGCGGTGCAATATCGCAGCCGACATGCAGTTTTTGTACGACGAGGGCGTTAGACTGGGAGGTGGGAGTGAGCTAGAGAGAGAGGCTGCGAGGCTGTTTATTAGCAAGTGTAGGTGTTTTCTTGGGCAGATTCAGAGGGCGCAGTGGGGGTTGAGTGAGGATGTGTGCGATAGGGAGTTTGTGGAGTGGGGGCATGATTTGCCTATTCGTAGGCCGGGGATTGTGGTATGGTTAGTGAGGGAGTTGATGGAGAGAATGGAGAGGAAAGGGGGCAGAGGCGATGGTAGTGGGGATGTGGATAAAGCGATTGCAGTCGACGAAGCAGGACATGAGGCTGAAAGAAAAATGGATCGAGGGCAAAATGTTAGTAACCGTAGCTTTCCACACCCAGTTGTTTCTTTCTTTGGATGACATTCTGTACGCCTGTTGATCAACCACATGAGTTATAATTGGAAAAGAAAACTGCTCTCATATCGCATCGCGAAGCATCCCTTGAATCATGCCCTACA